GATGAAGTTGTTGAAGTGCTTGGTCAGAACTCTCTGGTATGGCAGTGTCACATATCTTTCTACCATTCTGTATCATGAAGACTGGTAGTTAAAAAGAGTGAAAATTGATTCATTCTTTAATCAACTCACTTCTAACAGAAGTGTACTCATGGTGATGCCAGTTTAACGTAAAGAAAGAGTAAATATTGATATATAAAAAATAAATTGATATTATATTGATATATAAAAACTATAAGAATATTGATATATAAAAAACCAGAATTTCTCATATGCACAAAAAAATTGCTGCACTTTGATTTTTAAACAGAGGAAATATAACTGACCATAACTCTGATGACCTCCAGATATCCCTCCCACCCCTACGATTCTGTGTTTCTGTAATTCAGTGATTCAGAAGATGATTAAAAGTGCATTACAGAGACAAACTGTAGTGTTAATAGTCACTTTCAAATTATTCACCTAGTGATGTAAATGGCTAGTGATGTAAATAGTACCTAGCTACGTGGAAATGATGGTTGGGAGGGGAAAATCAATGTGTCAGCTCTTCCTGCTCTGTTGTTTTTCGAGACACATATAGAAAATTGCAATGAGCAACAGATCACAGCTCAGGTAAGTATCAGGAGAGATTTCAGTGCATGGCTAATTCAGTTTATTAAGCAACTGCTTTGGTGATTTCGTCATTTTCCTTAATGAGAAAAGCCTCCTTGCATTTGACAGAAGACATGAAAACTTGACAAAAATACATGAAAAGTGCAGTTAACTCCATTTCAGCTCCTTTTCCAGCTGAGTTCTTCCCACATCTTCCATTCACCATTCAGACGATTCTCTTTCATGGGGCTACAGTTGGACCAGATGATCTTGGCAGTCTTTTCCAACCTTGGTGATTCTATGTGATTCCATGGGAAGAGAGAAGTGGCAGCATATTTACAGTGCCAGAGAGAGCACTTGGCATTCTGTGGTGCAGGAGTAAAAGCCCCAGTGCTGCATTCAGGCAAGCCAGTGAAACAGTTCCCACTGAATTCAGTCAGATGAACACAGTGACGAGTGCCACACCCCTTCAGTACAGCAGTGGGAATCAAAGCAGCTTCAGTGCGGTGCAGTTTCACCAGCACGGTTGTGACTGCTTGGTAAGCATATAAACGGTTATGAGATTTACGAATATCAGGTGATGAAAGTGTTAAAATTTCCTTCTAGCAAATAAATGAAAATAAGAGCTAAGGGAATAAGTAATAAAAGCTGCTTGCTAGGAAAGGATGTTATTTTCCCTAGTGGAAGAAAGGATGTGTATTTTTGCTATAGTGCATCATTGTGAAAATTTATTTAAGTAGATGATCTTTCTAATCACCTAAGACTTACAAATCCATTTAGAAATGCTATCTTCTTTTCCCAGGCAAACACTTCTGAGCAGCCAATATGCAAACAGTCCAGACACAGTAAATCTTACACCATGTTTTGCTCAAAGGCCTGCCCCTGTGTGCCTTTGGGCTATTACTGGCCTCAGTAATTTGAAGCTGTTTAATTTGTTTCTGTTTTGTGATAGGTCTGAAATACTGTAATTTTACTTGAACTATTATTCAATTTTTTCTGTGTAGAACATAAAAAAAGAACACTGATATTAGAACAACTTTAGGAAATAGAATTGTTCTGCAGTTATCTTTTATTTTGAGACACAAAAAAATGTGTGAGGTCTATAACCACTGTATAAGCCATGAAGAGGGAAGTGTGCACTCTGAGTAGATAGATCCTCTGCTGACGTAACTAGGTATAATCCCATTAGTTTCTGTGTGGCTGGAAGACATAGCCTGAGAGATCTGGTTTGAGTACTTTTCTGTCTTATTATGCTTGATATGGCTGCATTTCTCAAAATATCAAGTGAGGTGATCCTTCCTTCTCCTCGTTATTGCTGAAGGCACATTTGGGGTATTGTGTTCAGTTCCAGGGCCTGCACTACAGGGGAGACCTATGCATAAGAGAAAGAGTGAATATCAGATTCCTGATATTCGCTAACAGAAGTTGTACAGCCTTATTTCTCCTGGTAGCAGGTATAAGGTAGCAGACTTTTAAGGATGATTACCAATATTCTAAGATAGAAAACCACATTTTTTCAGATATATGCATGTATACCTGAGATAAGACAGCTAAGACACTTCAGAAAAACTGGTATTGAGTCAAAGTGAAAATTATGTATTGATGATATCTATTATTTTCTATGCTTCATGAATAAATCAGTGCTGAATACCTCCACATCAGAAACTTTCCACACCTTCTGTGAGATAAAATGCAGAAGAACCTTGAGCGTCCTGTCCCTGTTTCCTGTGGATGGTCATTTTTTATGTAACATTTGGGTAAGTGCCTGGACTTAGTAAGAAGTATTATGGGCTATAGTTTCTTGTCGCTATTTATCCAATTTTTCCTACTGTTAGAATTATGTAATACTTTGACAGGTACACTGTGACACTATCTAGCGATGCCATGAAGGGCTGTAAATACATATACACAGGTGATGCATCAACTTTTCCAAGTGTGCTGCAGTCCTCAGGAATATCTTAAACATATTGATACTCCATTTTTCTGTATGCACGGCAAATATTTGTTGCACCATTTTAAACTAGGTCATACTGCAAATACTGTGCTGATGGTCCTCTTACTTCCCAGAAGGCTAAGTGGCTGCTGAATGTCAAAAAGATCTGCCTTACTTTATTATCCGAACAAGTAAGCAGAAAACAGTATCCATCCAGTATAAAAATGTATAAACTTCATACAGCTGACAGAAATTGAATTTTAGGATATTTTTATATAGGCTGGCCATGGAGCAGTATTAGATAGTACTCTGTAAACTGAGATTTTTATTTGCACTGGAGTTTATCAAATAAAGGTGATTAAAATTAATTTTCCATTGCTGTTTTCAGACAACTTCTGACCTCCTTCTAATCCTAAGATACATAGATTCAGTTGAAAGCAGACTTATCTGACAAAACTGTGTTTCATGTAAAGAACATGGTTTACATTAGAACACTAAGCTATTCTGACTCTGTGCTTTAACATTAGCTTTTATCTTTTTCTCCTGTCAGTAGAGATTACTTTCAAAAATGGAGATTTTCAAGAAAACATATTAGTGGTCCTTGAGCAAGTGTTCTAAAGGTCATTTAGGATTCTGCATCATTAGTTGCAGAAGTAAATGAATACTTAGGCTTTTTAATTTATGTATGACAATACATAAATGTGATTAAAGCAGTAATTTACTGTGAGCATTTCAGCTGCAGTCCAGGAGCAGAGCCTGATATAAGAGTAACTCAAAGCCCCAGACCAATACTGTAGTTCAGTTATTTCTGTTAGGCAGACTGCTCTTCAATTCCACTCTGCAAGGCCAATTTCATTAGTGGAAGCAGTAAGATGACAGGAGGAAAAAGGAAGGATCATGGGCGTTTTGTCCTGCTGGCCCAGGAAGAGCTGCTTAGAGACAAAGTTCTCCCGTGAAGGAGAACAAGATCTGAGAAATACAGAAAAACCTTTTAAAGAGGTTTTTACCATAAGTCTTTGTTACCCCTCTGAGCTGCACCCAGTACTAAAGAAACTGCAAGAATACAAAAGCTACGTAAAATGGAAACCAGGCCAGCTTCACCATCCCCTTTTAAATGGAAATATTTACCCCTGATTTGCTTCTTTTTCTTCAACATGGATGGTGGTAAGGACCCATCACATGGGTAGAGGAGATGTTACTTTTGAAGAACTAACAATTGGAAGAAAAAGAAGATGGAAATCAGCCAAAAACAACAATAAGTTGTTTATTACTTCCATGAACTTTCAGAAAAGTGCTGTTATCCCAGAGACAGAAGGTGTATACACCAGACCATATCCTTCTGCAGGCCTGTGGTGGTCAGGTAACAAATCAAAATCACACCAAGAGAAGTACTATTGCCACGCAGAGCAGTGAATGGAATGAAAGTATTGAGAGGAGTGCTTTATTGCAGCTAGCTTCCAGGCAAGTGACATATAAGCAATTTCTTTTTTTTTTAATTGATACTAAATACTGCTGTAAGGAAATTTAGCAATAATAATAATAATAACAATAATAATAATAAATAATCTCTTATGCAATCCTTTGAAAATGGACTGTAATAAAAGAACTTGTATAAAATGCTGTTTAAGGGTTGTGTAGATTATGGGGAATAAATGTGGAATCTGGCCCCAAAGGAATCAATAGGCAATTTTCTACGATGTGAAGCTAAAATTTTGCACTAATTACATAGATTTAATCTCTCAAGGTCGGCACCTGTGACACGTCACAGATCAGAAATATTTCAAATTAAGATGTTAAGGAGCAATGATGAGTAGGGTGGAAGGTGCCATTAAAAATATACATGATTGTCATCATGGAAAATGAATTTTCTTTCCATCCTCAACAGCCAACATTTTCTATATTGGAAACAAACTAACAAAAGAAGTAATATGAGACACTGCACTATTAGGAGCTAACATGATAATAGTTTATTTTCTTATATGCAGTATGCAGCCTCATAAAACTGCAGAGAGATGCCTGTCAAATCTGAGAAGAAGATGTCACAGCCACATTATACAAATATGACAAAACATAAAGATATTGAAAACAACAAAATGCTGCTTCTAGTCATTAATCTATCTTTTAAATTATTACAATATTTAAAAGTTCACAAAGATAAAATAACACATTTACATTGGTGTTAACTTCTAATAAATACATTGTGGATTTGGATTCTTTTCTATTTTTTGTAGCAGATGATAACATAGTTATATGTGGAAGTTGTCTGGGAATTAAGTAAGAGGTCAGTATGTATACTATTCAGTAACTACTATTACTAACATCAGAAATAATTATCTCCTGAAATTAATTTTATCCCCTTCTGTGTATGTCAGCACATGAAAGTACACTTCTCTGTTTTGAGTTAAATTATCTAGCAATAGTACTGATGATGTTTACTTTAAAGTTACCTTTCAGCTTTTTGTGTTCATATTTGAAATGCTTACGTAAAATCCTTTGAAACAGCTTCTATGAAGTTGGGAGCAGACATGAGTATTGTAAATGTGCAAATGATGGCAAAAAGGGTAAATGCAACCAGGCATAATCTGTCTATGACTGCAGCTGCAAACTTCCACTCACTGCAGATCTCTTCACCCTCATCTTGCTTCCTGAAGCGCATTGCAATGAACTGAACTTCCTCCAGTATCTTCACAATCACTGGGATGGTATCCATTAAAGCCTTTTTTTGAACATGCTCGTTATCTTCTGGCAAGGGGCAAGTAATCTTTCCACTCTTGCTACCCAGATCATTGTTCTGGGGGCAGCATGGATTTTCCATTGTGTGGTAGCTATAAATCATATTGCCATTGCTGGGCTGGTGCCCAGGTAGGACATTCATCTCTGTATTTTTCAGGCTTGGATGGTGCTTGGAATAGCTATATTTACAAGAGAGGGGCTTTATATTTTCCCCGGGTTTTTTCATACGTAAAAACCAAGCACACCAGTTCAGTAGAATGACACGGACCTGAAAGAAAGGGAACATAACATAAGGAAAGGGAATTTTTGTCCATTTTAGCAGTTTTTGAAACATTTAGTCACTGTCACAGTCAATATGTATGTTCTGCTGGAATGACTGCCTGCTTCATGAGGTATCTGCTTTCAAATGTAGTAGTTTTGCGTCTGGCTTCTTCCTGAGACAAATCCGTTATGGATTTATGGATATGCCTAGAACAAACAGATGTTCAATGTCCTCTGAAGGTGCAAAGCATAATGGATGCAAAATTTTACATTACAATTTTTAAAGTCCTACAGTTTGCAAATAATCCTAGACCTCTGCAAATGTGCATAAAACTGGCTGCATTCTTTTTCAACCACTTCTCAGATAGCGTGGAAGGACCAATACTTACAGAACTGAGGAACAAAGGTTTGGATTCTGCTGAAAAAATTCCACATCAGATTAATAGTTATTTTTAGCATACTCCCCCATCCCTGTTGTTTAAATAAACAAGCTTGGTTTTTTTCACTTGAGGAATCTAAATGTGCTTGTTTCAGAAAGAGCAAGACTCCCTCTGTGATCCTGCTCCAGACACTACAGCCACACAGAAGTCATCACCACACTTTGCCTCTATGGTGGTTTCAGATACAAGTTGAGTTGTTCCCCTGCACAGTGGAGATGCAGGGATGGGGAAACTGCAGCTGACACTTTGAGCTGCAACTGTAAAGACAAGCACAATTTCAGAAAAGAGAAGGCATTAATTACCACAAGTGGGAATAACAATAATAAAGAGCCAAAGCAATGGTCAGTGAAAGATGTTTACACAACTTTGAAATTCTACAGTGAGAGTTCTGCTGGTTTGCAGACTTATGCCATTTTCTGCAAGCCTTTCTGCTTCTCTCCTCCTAATGAATCATTTATTCTTTATCCTGAAGGGCTATTTCCTGTTTCCAATTATTCTGCTTATCTTGAGGGCTTTAAATCTTTCATTATTTCCTACACAGTCACTAAAAATAAACAGCAAAATGTAATGCAGCAACTTAAAAAAAATCCATACCGGATTTAATTAAACTTACTTAATTACAGTGTCATATGACATATTATGGACACAAGGTGAAACATCATGGAGCAAAGTAAGGTGTTAATTGCTAACAATATGTTAACAATGTTAAAATACTGGCTTAGGCAAACTTTCTTACTCAAAAATTTTAATATATCTGTTAGCTCTGGAAAGAGATGTTAGGCGAAAAACCATAGGAACATACCCCCCAGTGCATTATATGATGTTATGGTGTGCAACTCTGACAACCAAAAATCATAAAACCATGACATCCTTTCAAGATGGACAGGCAGGAGAAGTGGGCTGAAGAGAACCTAATGAGGTTCATTGAGGCCAAGTGCGCAAGTGCGGGGTGCTGCACTTGGGTTGGGGCAATCCCAGGTGTTTATAGAGACTGGGTGAAGAACCCCACGAGAGCAGCCCTGCAGAGAAAGACTTGGGGGTTCTGGTAGACGAGGAGCTGGACATGGGCCAGCAGTGTGCTCTTGCAGCCCAGAAAGCCAACTGTGTTCTGGGCTGCATTAAAAAACGGTGGCCAGCAGGGAGGGGGAGGTGACTGTCCTCCTCTACTCGGCTCTTGTGAGGCCCCATCTGTAGCACTGCGTCCAGGCCTGAGGCCCCCAGTACAGGAAGGACGTGGAGCTCTTAGAATGGATCCAGAGGAGAGCCTCTAAGATGATCAGAGGGCTGGAGCACCTTTCCTGTGAGGAAAGGTTGAGGGAACTGGGATTGTTTAGCTTGGGAAAGAGAAAGTTCTGGCAAGAGTTCATTGTGGCCTTCCAGTACTTGAAGGGAGCATAGAAACAGGAGGGAGAATGGCTGTTTACCAGGGTGGATAGTGATAGGACAAGGGGAATGGTTTTACACTGAGGCAGGGGAGGTTTCGGTTAGATATTAGGAGGAAGTTTTTCACACAGAGCAACAGGTTGCTCAAGGAGTTTGAATCCCTGGAGGCATTCAAGGCCAGGTTGGATGTGGCTCTGGGCAGCCTTGTCTGGTGGTTGGTGACCCTGCACATAGCAGGGGAGTTGAAACTAAATGATCATTATAGTTCTTTTCAACCCAGATGCAGTGCTGGGGCTGTCAGAAAACAGCCTGGGTAGGATGAATATGCATTCTCATCTGCACAGTCATTTCTGGGTTTCTTGTGAAAGAAGGACATAGGTGAGGCCACCTCAAGGGCAAACAGCCTATCGCTGTTGTGATCACCAGGGTCCTCCCCTAAGCATCACACTGTTTTGCTTTAGATATATTCTCAGTTCCAATCACAGAAAATCTAGAAAATTGGTCTCCAGCTACTACACTTCTTGAGAGGAGTGAAGTAAGCTCCTGCACAAATTTATGCTTGCTGGTTCAATGGCATCAACTGGTCCAAATATAAGTATATCCAAAGAAAAACCTAAAAACCAATGAACCCCAAAGCCCCCTTCCTGCTTTGTGCTTGATCTTCCTGTATTTCTCATGTACAATGCAGTATTTTTGGTTGTCAGCAGAGGCGTATTGATGGAGCAGAGAGTCATGCCTGATATTATCTACTCTCGAAGTGCTAATTAGCTGGACTCTCATTAGTGCTCTGCTCCACAGTGAGTGGAGGGAGTACCAAGTAGACAGCAGCCCCCACTTCTGAACTGAATAACTAAGAAATACCACGGCTGAATGCCGTGAATTTAAGCTCCTCTCTAGGAAACAAAAGATTAATAGACAGGAGGGTAAAACTATCATCTGTGAAGCTACAGAGAGGCTAAATGCTAACACTCCTGTCTGATACCTTTTCTGGTCCAAAGGCCAAACACAGAGTTCTTGAGAGATGAGAGATGAGCAGGGAAACAAAACCATTCAATGGAGAAAAGTTTATAAATCAGGTGTGTAGGTAATGCAGTCAGTTAAACTCTCTAGTTTCGGGGTTGCTTCCTTATAAACCTTATAAAACTTATAAAAAAGTGACTTTCCCCGTAACTTTCCCCAGCAGCTACTTGCATTTGAATAGGAAGTAAAAATAATCCTGTAATAAAATCCAGTCAGTGGAGAGTAATTGGATGGTAAGGATACCTGCTGAGACTGGAACTGCAGAGAAAAAATTCAAGCAAGTTATTTCCTAGATTCTGCAGATAGTTATCTTAAATTCCTGTATATTATTGAGCAAAAGTCTGTAAGGATGTATCTAAAATAAAAATGTAATTTGCCTGAAATAGGTGCACAGGAAAAAATAAAAATGGAAAATATGCTGTGAATCTTAACAACTGAACCATGGCCTTTTACTGGTGGAGGAATAACACCCACTTCTGTGGTGTCAAACTCATCCCCGCAAATTTGGCATTCGCTTTTTTTCTCGAGATCCCACAGCCCTGTCAGCTTTCCTGGTCTACAGCTGTCACAGTTTATCATCTGACCTTCCCTATAGCCTTTCTATACTTTTTACTTCACTATTGTTGTGGTGGTTTTTTGTTTGTTTGTTTGTTCTGTTTGTGTATTTTTGTGCTTTTTTAATATGTGCCAGTTCAGTAGTCAGGGCACTGAGTCAGGTTCTTCAGGAGTGAGAACTCCTTGCTCTCAGTCTTTTCAGCTAACTGACAGTGGATCTCGGCAGCTTTGCGGCAAGAACCCAGAGTATGCATACAAGTCTTCTTTCTCTGTAGTTTTTATCTTTGCAGTCTTAGGTCCTGATGTTGACAAGCACAGACCAATAGGTAGTCCCAAAACTTAGCAGGTCAGTGGTGAGTAAACAAGATCTATACAACATCAAGTCTAGACCCACCCACTCCCTTTCCTCTCACCATTCCCCTCTGCCCTCCACTCCCTCCTAGATAATGCCATCAATTTCCTGTCTTGTGTGTTCCTACACACCCACTTGGCCTGAGAAGATCTCCTGCTCTACTGAGACAGAGCGAGAGCTGACTTGCTGGATCTATGATCATATTTAATGTGAGCCATTGTGCCTAGGCTTCTCAAGAAGCAGAAGAAATGGCAGAATTGCTCCTGGGAGCTATTACACTGCTGTGTACTTTGTCCATGTATTCATGTGCTCCAGTCTTGAAATCAAGAAGTAATTTTTAGAAAGCTTAATATGTATTAGACTTCCTTTTTAATTTTTTTTTATTTTGCTTTAATGCTGCAGTTTATTTTTAGAGAAGCTAAATTAGAAAGTATTTCAGTTTTCAGGCTGACATTGGTAATCATGTGATGTTTAACATCATGTCAGGGTAATTGTCTAGAACGACAATTGTGGCAAATGAGATGCTACAGGATGCTGTAGAAACAGACGCCTGTGAAACTGGGATATGCAGATGACTATTTGTATCTGCTTATACTTCCATTGCTTTTCTTTTTTTTTTTTTTTTTTTTTTTTTTTTTTAACAGCAAAGCATATTCTGCGTATTCTAAACCTATTCTCAGTAAATGGAGAGAGAAAAAAAACGTTGTTTTAACTTCAAAAGATAAAATAAATACACCCCCCTGAAAGGCATCTGGGAGAGGTGCCAGACCTCAGGGATAACAGAGCCTTCTGCTGTAGAGAAGGTGTGTCCACATGTTAACTGCACTGAGAAGTGATCAGATGGAAGTAGACAAAATTCATTTGCCACCTAGACTACTGGATTCAGCCTCAGCAAATGGCAGTTTCTGAGTCAGTGATGTCAGTGCAGTCAGACTGAGCCCAACAGTGTTGCCTTTCTGCTGATGGTGCAACAGGAACCTGCTCCAAGCTGTGAGAAGCACAGTTGGGTTCAGTATTCAGTGCAGAGGCACTGAAGTTCCTGGTTTTCCAGCATTTCTGGGAGCCAGCTTGTAACAGGTTCGCTTGTAAGACAGGATAAGCTAATCAGCTTCTCCTCTTTCCTTTGTTCTGGGAGATCACAGCTCTGCCGTTAAATAGAAAACGTAATGCTGTTCCCTTCTCTGTAACAGAACAGAGAAACTGCTCAGTCTAATAAATGTGAGGTGTCTGCTGGATAAGAAATCAAAAGTGTTGCCCACAGGGCCAGCCCTTGAAAAGCAGGTGCAGAGAAAGATTACTCTGCCATGAATCAAGCTACCCCTGTTTAAGGTTTAAATAGAAAACCCAAACAACTGATGTTTTTTCTAAGAGAACCCCAAATTTAGTATGTTTGTTCTCTCTCTCTAATATCAAACATAATAGTGTAAAACATACTGTCTGTAGTTGACACTTGAGGTTAATGGGGAATAACATCTGTCCCTTGTCAGCTTGCCACAACTTTCAAATTTTCTTTAAATGCTATTGAATATTTACTACCAAATCTACTCACCCATCTGGGCATCTTTCCTGCTTGTGGGTCATGATGGTGAAACTGCAGAACCAGCACTGTTACAACCACAGACAGACCAACAATGACCATGATGCTAGCGAAATACTGAGCTGCAAGTAAAAGGAAAATTTGGTCAGGAGTGGAGAAAAACAAAAGGCAAATGACATTCCTTGATCTTGAGCTACATTTACAAAGCGCTGAATCTCATCCAAACATCTTCTTTGATACCTGTATCAGTGGACCCCCAGAAAGTATGGTTGTGGCACCACCACCTTCTGCTCCCACATCTTGTTACTGCCCAAAAGGGTGCATTACTCAGCACCCTCCTCAGTCCTTAAGGCTACCCCTCTTGATTTCTATGAGAATACCCTTGCTGGAGTGCTAAATTTAAACCTACTGCACAGGAAAAAAATCAAAATCTTGAATCCCAGAACTGAGACTTGAAACTGTTATCTCCTCGACGCATCTCATCATTGTTTGCAGATGACACCAAGTTGGGAGGTGATGTTGATCTGCCTGAGGGTAGGGAGGCCTTTCAGAAGGATCTAGATAAACTGGATCACTGGGCTGAGGTGAATGGGATGAGGTTCAACAAGGCCAAGTGCCAGGTCCTGCACTTTGGCCACAACAACCCCATGCAGCACTGTAGGCTTGGGGCAGAGTGGCTGGATGAGTGTGAAGAGGAAAGGGACCTGGGGGTGTTGGTTGATGCTCGGCTGAACATGAGCCGACAGTGTGCCCAGGTGGCCAAGAGGGCCAACGGCATCCTGGCCTGCATTAGAAATAGTGTGGCCAGCAGGAGCAGGGGGGTGATCATCCCCTGTACTCAGCACTGGTGAGGCCGCACCTCGAGTATTGTGTTCAGTTTTGGGCCCCTCACTACGAGAAAGACATTGAGGTCCTGGAATGTTTTAGAGAAGAGCAATGAAACTGGCGAGGGGTCTGGAGCACAAGTCTTATGAGGAGTGGCTGAGGGAGCTGGGATTGTTCAGTTGAGGAGGCTCAGAGGAGACCTCATTGCACTGTACAACCTCCTGAAGGGAGGCTGTGATGAGGAGGGGTTTGGCCTCTTCTCCCAGGCAACAAACAGGACCGAGGAAATGTCACAAATTGTGCCACAGGAGGTTTAGATTAGACATAAGGGAAACTCTTTTCCTCTCAGAGGGTGGTCAGGCACTGGAATGGCTGCCCAGGGAGGTGGTGGAGTCGCTATCCCTGGCAGTGTTCAAGAGGTAAATGATCCTCAAGAGGATGAGGAACTAAGAGATATGGATTAGTACCTTGTGGCAGCAGTGGTGATGGGAGGACGGTTGGACTAGATGATCTTGTGTTTCCAACCTTATGATTCTATGATTCTGTGATCCCCTGCATCCATCCTCTCATGTCAGAGGTGAGGTTGGTGCACAAGACTACAAGGAACAATTTTCCATAGGGCTAATGGCATTTAAAGGCAGTTGTTGAAGACAGCTGAGGCAAAATACCAAGGACTATTATGTCTAGTTGTTAGAGAGAGATTTGGAAACCACCGTGAACTGCAGCCTCCACCACCACCTCAACCTGGATTACAGAAAATGTCAGTAATCTAATAAAGACTTCAAGGCAAATTTTGTTTTTATCCATCTTCATTTATTAACATTGTTTCTCTTTGCCTCAGCAGCAAAACACTTGTTCATAATAATAAGGTTCTTCCCAAAAACCAGCACTGCAATTGCTTCAAGAGAAAGACGTGGCTCTCCATGATACAATACATTTCACAGCTGGATGCTCCTGTGGGTGATGTGAATTGCCAGGTCACTGTGACACCTACTTATGAGAGAACCAATAGCCAGGTGGAAGCACTGCAAACTATGAACTCAGGCTTGAGAGGAGCTGGCTGATCTGACTCCAGCATGCCCCATACAAGAGAAATCTAGAAGTGCTGATATTATTGGTCTAATTAGTTATAAATCACTAAATACTGCTTTAAATATGCACTTCAATAAGATTTTCTGGCCTGAAATGTTCAATTGAGAAGGTCTTTGGCTTGTATGTTTTATAGACCCTTATAAAATTACATACTTTGTTGAATCTGAAAAGAACTTTGTGATACCTGACACTTCTAAGATCCCAGGCAATGGGAATTCACAGTTTAAACTTTGAGCGCAGTAAACTTGGGAAGTGAGGTCAGAAAATTCTACAGATATCTGCTAGAAAGCGGGGAAAACAGTTCTTTCAGGAACAGACTGGGATCTGTAGCATTCCCTGTAGACTGCAGCCTCCTCTCACCCTATTCCAGCCCAACACAAGCAAGAATCAGTGAACTCTATTTCTAGGTCTTCACTAAATTAGCTGAGTACTGCCACAGAAAATTAGAGATGCTCACCCATGACATGTAGCTCAGGAAAAAAGCAGTGTCATAGCAACTGAGCCACAGTCCAGCCACTAAACATTTTACTCCCAGTATTTTAGGGTCCACTCATAAGCATACAGCAGATATGCACTTACAGCTTTGAAGCTACTGGTCTCAGAAAGTCCTGTTCCCATGTATGTCTGTTGGTGGAGATAAATGTGAATCTGATTTCTCTCTCTCACACACACACACACAAAAACTCATCCCTTTCATTTATACATCAGAAGGGAAATATTCAGCATCTCTTACTAATCACCTTTCTGAATCCTACTTAAGAATTTCTCGTTGCTGAGATCTTCCCTCACATATAGAGGCCACCCTGGAGGCTTTAACAAATGACTTTACCATGTGCAGTGTCAGCTCTCAGATCAAGAAAAGCGATCCCAGACCAGAATGCATCTGAAAGAGTATGGGATCTGGTGCTGCATGCCAGCTGCTCTGAGGCACAGCTGGAAAGCTTCTAACATTCCACAGGAATACTGAGATCTGCTCTGGACTTCACTAGATGCTCTTCGTATGATTTCAAAGCTGTTATCTTCAGCCACTATGTGTGAAAAGAAGAGTTGCTCCAGATTCTCAGTTGATCCCTCTCAAACATGAAATATGTGCTCTTCTTCAGCTGATTTTCTTCCTTTTGCCAAAGGAGACATGATGTAACATGCTACCTGGACAGCTGTTCTAAAATCTGGAGTTGTCAAGCTCTGTCTTATCATTGTCAGAAGTAGATCAGGTGCTGCTGTCATAGCAAATACAGATCACATACAGCACATAGACCCAGAAGCTCTTCAAAAAATCAGTGACAACTACTTGTTCTTGCAGACATACTCTGGCATTGCCTAGGTCAAAATAATGGCACGGTCTTGCAGTTCAGAAATAGAGGAGCTTCCACCACCATTTATGGATCTTTTGTGACATTATTCTATGTCAGAGAAGCAACATGGTTTATTTTAGAATTATTTGTAAGATCTGCTGCTTGAGTGGAACCGGATAAACTTTAAGGGCTGATTAGAAACAGGGTAAATAAAACAGAAACCCTGAGGGGTGATATGATTCCAGATGGATGCTTTGCTTTGTTGATTTTATCACTGAACGCTGGCTGAGAAAGCAGTATATTATCCAGATTTATTAACACAGCTAATGATAGGAAAAACAGAGCTTTTCCACTGTGACCAACTGCAGTGTTGCTGACACTGTGGAATAGTGGGGGATGAAGGTGATTGTAAAGATCAGGTAGTTGCAATGGTGAGTCTGGATACCTCCCACTGCTATTCCTTCTTTGCTGGAAGCATCAGTTTTTGCATCTGACATTCTGGACTGTTTCAGAGCTGCTCTAAGTCAAGTCATTTCAATCATTTAGTGCTGAAGGCTTTTGGTGAACGCTCATGAAATGACAGAAATGACCCAATGCATTCACAGTATGAGATATACACTGTTGTTCCCTCTGAAAATGCTCCAGATTCATAAGCTGAATCTGTGGAGGATGCAGGAAACGTCCAGCCCCAGCATAATGAATTCCAACTGTCCTTTTATTCCTATGGCAGGAAGCAGGACTCATGCTGGGCAGACGCCATCTCACTCTGCAGCGGGCAGTAGTTGCTCATAGGCAGAGTTCCTCAAAGAGTAGGGAGGAGAACAGGAGGTTGAGGACAGACTCCCTTACTGTCCTACTGTAGTATACAGATAGCAAAGAGACTAAGTAGATAACGTGGACAGGAAAAAAGTTATCCATTGTTAAGTCTTCCTGTAGCTGGGATACACTGTACATTCTATTAGGTCTCAGCAGCAGAAAGCAAAGAACATTGCCATAGTCCAGCTAGTTTTTCACAGACATGAAATGTTTGTGAAGAGAGAGAATTCAGGGTTAGATCTTGTGTTTACTTCTTGGTTATGGTAACTGCAGAGGCATGGAGCCATATTTTCAATCTCGTCTCAGCCCGAAAGCTATTGAAGTATAGAACCAGATGTTTGAGAAATAAAACTGCTCTTTTTTTTTCTGTCTTAGATGAAGTTCATCCAAGACAATTAACTTTGGGAAAAACACCATAGATCACTGTGAAGAACTGGCTGCTTTCTATTGGATGGAAGATTCTGAGAGAAGCCCTGCCATCAGCAAAGCTCCCATCAGGACCATGAAAGGGAGGGGAGATAAACACTAAAAACAATTTGAAAAAAGACAGAAAAATGAAATGGCAGTGACTGAGGATATACAGGCAGATGACAGAAAATGCAGTAGATTAATCTTTTTTTCTCTTTCTAGTCAGAACCACTAATGTCTTATGCTCATAGCTTAAAACAATCTGTAACTCCTGGAGGTGGCAAAAGCACCACATTTCTTCCTTGTCTTAGTAATTTTCTGTCTTGTTTGCTGTATGACTAACTGCAAGAAATCACCCCAAGCATCTGGTGCGAACATACTTACAGTGTATGACCTTCATTTGTATTGAAATAACAGTGGCATGATAATGAACAGCAAGGAGATGAGAAGACTGAAAACAAATCATGTAGTAGAGCCCTGAGCAGCAAATTAAGCTTTGTGGATTTAGAATAAGCAAGCAGATGAAGGAGACAGAGGAAAATGCAGTGATGTTACCTAGACTGAAGCTAACTAGACTTTTTTGTGTAGCATTTGATAAATCCAGGCAAGGTGTCATACATCATGTAGATACTGACCATAGGAAATGACAATTCCTTATACTAACCCCCCCCACACACTGTCCACTT